TTAGAAGACCTCATCATCTCAGCCCAAAATCTCCTGAAACTGATAAGCAACTTCAGCAAAGTCTCAGGATACAAAATCAATGTACAGAAATCACAAGTATTCCTATATACCAATAACAGACTTAAAGAGAGCCAAATCAAGAAGGAACTGCCATTCACAATTGCTACAAAGAGAATAAAATACCTAGGAATACAACTAACAAAGGATGTAAAGGACCTCTTCAAGGAAAACTACAAACCACTGCTCAAGCAAATAAGAGAGGACACAAACAGATGGAAAAACATTTCATGCTCATGGTCAGGAAGAATCAATATTGTGAAAATGGCCATATTGCCCAAAGTAATTTATAGATTCAGCGCTATCCCCATCAAGTTACCTATGGCCCTCTTCACAGAACTGGGAAAAACCACCTTAAATTTCACATGAAATCAAAAGACAGCTCACATAGCTAAGACAATTCTAAGCCAAAAGAACAAAGCTGGAGGTATCACGCTACCTGACGTCAAACTATACTATAAGCCTACAGTAATCAAAACAGCATAGTACTTGTATCAAAACAGAGATATTGACCAATGGAACAGAACAGAGGCTTCGGAGGCAACGCCACACATCTACAACCATCTGATCTTTGACAAACCTGACAAAAACAAGCAATGGGCAAAGAATTCCCTTTTTAATAAACGGTGTTGGGAAAACTGGCTAGCCAAGTGCAGAAAGCAGAAACTGGACCCCTTCCTGACACCTTACACTAAAATCAACTCCAGATGGATTAAATGCTTAAACATAAGCCTTAACACCATAAAAACCCTAGAAGAAAACCCAGGCAAAACCATTCAGGACATAGGCATAGGCAAGGATTTGATGACTAAAACACCAAAAGCATTGGCAACAAAAGCCAAAATAGACAAAATTAGATCCCAGAGGTTCTGTACAGCAAAAGAAACAATCATTAGAGTGAACTGGCAACCAACAGAATGGGAAAAAAATTTTGCAATCTACCCATCTGACAAAGGGCTAATATCCAGAATCTACAAAGAACTAAAACAGATTTACAAGAAAAAACAAACAAACAAACAAACCCATTCAAAAGTGGGCGAAGGATATGAACAGACACTTTTCAAAAGAAGACATACAGGAGGCCAGCAAACATATGAAAAAATGTTCATCATCACTGGTCATTAGAGAAATGCAAATCAAAACCACATTGAGACACCATCTCACACCAGTTAGAATGGCGATCATTAAAAAATCTGGAGACAACAGATGCTGGAGAGGATGTGGAGAAATAGGAACACTTTTACACTGTTGGTGGGAGTGTAAATTAGTTCAACCATTGTGGAAGACAGTGTGGCGATTCAGGACCTAAAATCAGAAATTCCATTTGACCCAGTAATCCCATTACTGAGTATATATCTTAAGGGTTATCAATCATTCTATTATAAAGACACAGGCACATATATGTTCACTGTGGCACTGTTTACAATAGCAAAGACCTGGAACCAACCCAAATGCCCATCAATGATAGACTGGACAAGGAAAATGTGGCACATATACACCATGGAATACTATACAGCCATAAAAAATGATGAGTCTGTGTCCTTTGTATGGACATGGATGAATCTGGAAACCATCATTCTCAGCAAACTGACACAAGAACAGAAAATCAAACACCGCATGTTCTCACTCATAGGTGGGTGTTGAACAATGAGAACACATGGACACAGGGAGGGAAGCATCACACACTGGGGTCTGTTGGGGGTGGCTAGGGGAGGGACAGCAGGGGGTGGGGAGTTGGGGAGGGATAACACGGGGAGAAATGCCAGATATAGGTGATGGGGATGGTGGTAGCAAACCATATTGCCATGTATGTACCTATGCAACAATCCTGCATGTTCTGCACATGTTCCCCAGAACCTAAAGTACAATAAAAAAATATATATATATATATATATATATATATATATATCATAAATAAATAAAAAGACATAAGTATAACATGAATTATCCATCTAAGGGTTTTTAAAAGTCTATTAAAAAAATGGCCTAGGTCTGTCGTGCTCAAGACTCCAGAAATAACAAAGTCTCTATTCTGCACAATCATTGCTCTAAATGCCATTAGTTGAAACAGCATTTAAGAAATGCCATTAGACATAAGGAATTTTATTTCCAGACAGTTCTCCTTCCAGAATAAAAAAGCATCCACTTAAGGTGTTCAGGATCAACCTCCAACCTGCGTCTCCAACATAGAACTTGTTAAGGCAAAAGCACATTCCTTAATCATGCTCACAGAGAGCTCTGGCATTAAGAAATTATACATAAAAATAATCACTACACTACCCAAGGCAACATAAAGCTAGAGGCTACGTAGAAACACCAGCATTCATTTATCTTAACGATAGGAAAAGGGGCTTCAAAACATGATAGAAAGGGGGCTTCTCTAATTTGTGAGACAATGCCAAAAACAGTCAGAAAGCTCCTCTCCTGGTGGGTGAGTTGCCCAGCAAGACAGCCTCAGCAGGGAAGGAATGTGCTGACGTGGCTGGCACTTAGGAGAATCAGCAAGAACAGGCCTGCTGCTTTGGCCTTCAGAATGAGGGAGGCTGCCACTCAGGCAAAAGTGCAATTTGTTACCACCTGTCGATGTGAGATCAGGTCTTGCCTAGCCCGTAGGAAGAGAGAGAGAGAATATTAAGATGGTTCTCATCAGGAACACTCCAGGCAAGCCCCCTCGGTTCTGGTAGTGTATTTATTCAATGGGGCATGACTCTTCTCAGAGAACCCAAGAGACCTTGAAAGCAGCTTTGACCTCATGCCTTCTAGTCAAATGGAGGTGCCATGTCCTTCAACAGCAGCCTGAACCCTTTCATAGTTTCATCTCATTATAAGAGAAATATATTTTCAGTGTACTTCTGAGGAGGAATTTGGTTTATCTTTTTTTTTTTTTTTTTTTTTTGGCATGGTCTTGCTCTGTCACCCAGACTGGAGTACAGTCGTGGGATCCCAACTCACTGTAGCCTCTACCTCCCAGGCTCAAGCGATTCTCCCACTTCATCCTCCTGAGTAGCTGGGATTACAGGCACATGCCACCATGCACAGCTAATTTTTCTATTTTGTGTAGAGACAGGGTTTTGCTATTTTGCCCAGGTTGGTCTCAAACTCCTGGGCTCAAGAGATTCTACTGCCTCAGCCTCCCAAAATGCTGGGATTACAGGTGTGAGCCACCATGCCTGGCCTGGTTTATCTTTAATTGTAAATGCTCACACTCTGCTCAGTCATTCCACATACAGGAATCTAACCTGCAGAAATGCTTTCCTACATTCACAAATGTTTCCACCCTCCCCACCTCTCACATCCCTTCATAGCTCATCATATAGAATACAGGAAAACTGAAAATCCTAAATGTATACCGATAAGAAAACAGTTAAATAAATTATGGTAAGCTATACTATGGATAATCTCTAAATGAAATTGATACTTGCAAAGGTCTTCAAGGTGAAGTGAAAAACACCTTATAAATAGGGTTAAGACTCTACATGCTTTATGCAAACACCAAAGCTCTGTATGGAACTGAGAAAGTAGTGGGGGATTTCCCTTTTCACTTACATTTCCGTATTTGTATTTTTATGATGAGCATGTCTCTTCCATAATTTGCAAATAAAAAAATAAAAGGAATGTGTAAATAAATTTACAGTCATATGATGAACATAAAAATCATGTGTAACCCCATTACCCAGAGAGCTGCTGTTTCTATTTTGGTAGTATAAATCCTTCAAAATATTTTCCAATGAACTTACACTATTATAAACTTTTATAGCCCGTATTTTTTTAAAACACCTCATTTTTTCCCATACATTATTCAATTAAAGCATTATTTTAAAGGGCTGCATAGTGTTCTATCTTATGGGTGTACCACAATTCAGTTAAACAATGCTCTATTGTGGAAAACTTGGGTTGTTTTGTAACTTTATGAGAAAACTACTGTGATCATCATTCTTGTACATAAATCTCTGCATCTCTATTTTCAAGTATTTTTGTTTTTTAAGACAAAGTCCCACTCTGTTGTCCAGGCTGGAGTGCTATGGCACAATCGTTAGCCACCGCGCCCTGCCTTTGTTTTCTTATAATAAATGTTCTGAAGTTTAATTTGCTGGACCAAAGAATACGACCATTATTAACTTATTTACTGGGCCAAACAGAACAGTGTTGGCATTTTGTAGAAGGGGTATACCAATTTAAGCTTATACAAAAAATGTACGTGCTGATGAGAAAGTATTTTTATGGCACAAATTCAAAGCATTAAAATGTTTTAATCACTGTCACTTTGAAAGACAAAAATAACATTTCTGTCTGGGCATGGTGGCTCACAGCTGTAATCCCAGCACTTTCGGAGGCCAAGGCAGGTGGATCACCTGAGGTCAGGAATTCAAGACCAGCCTGGCCAACTTCGTGAAATCCCATCTCTACTAAAAATACAAAAATTAGCTGGGCATAAGGGCAGGCACCTGTAATCCCAGCTACTTGGGAGGCTGAGGCAGGAGAATCACTTGAACCTGGAAGGTAGAGGTTCCAGTGAGCCAAGACAGCACCACAACACTCCAGCCTGGGCAACAGAGTGAGACTCTGTTTCAAAAAAATTTAAAAAAAGGCATTTTTCTGTGTTTTTGTTTGCACTTCCTTGATTAGTGAAGTTAAACACTTTTCCATATGTTTATTGACTGCTTGCATTTGTTACTTTGAGAAGGGCCTATTTATACCTTTGTACATATTCTGTCTTGATTACTTCTGTTCCAAGAATTCTGGGGTCTACCCCATTACACATTCCTGTACAAAAACTCCTTACAATAATATATCTGGCTGACCAAAGGCATAGAAAGTTTTAAAAAGATATTGAAAAATGAAATATCAGTATAATATTTGAATTTCATTGAAATATGGCTCAGGTATAAACAATTTCTTAGTCAGTTTTTTTGAATTTAAGATTAAAATTAGTTTTACTTTACCATTGAATTCTTCAACTTCCAGCTCTGGAGCTACCAGGTAATACTGTTCACACAGCATCTTGGCTGTTTCATACGCATCTGCAAGAAAAGGAAAACATTTATCTGCTGCACTAATAACACAGGCACAAGCATGTATATGTGTGTGTGCATGCATGTACATGTATATACCTATAAGTATATAAGATAAACAAACTGTCTAAATGGATGGATGTAGAATTAATCAACTACAACCTTTTACAAAATATCCCTTTTTGGCTTTAACAGAATTACTATGACTGAAACAAAATTTCTCTTTTCTATTTTTTCCAAGACAGAGTCTTACTCTGTCGCCTGAGCTAGAGTACAGTGGTATGATCATAGCTTATTGCAGCCTCAAACTCCTGGGCTCAAGCAATCCTCCACCTCAGCCTCCCAAGTAGCTGACCTTACAGGCACATGCCACCATGCCCAGCTAATCTCTCTTTTCTTAAAGTTTTTTTGTTTTTGTTTGTTTTTTGAGACAAAGTCTCACACCATTGCCCAGGCTGGAGTGCAATGATGCAGTCTTGGCTCACTGCAACCTCTGCCTCCTGGGTTCAAGTGATTCTCCTGCCTCAGCCTCCCAAGCAGCTGGGATTACAGGTGTGTGTCACCATGCCTGGGTAATTTTTGTATTTTTAGTAGAGATGAGGTTTCACCATGGTTGGCCAGGCTGGTCTTGAATTCCTGACCTCAGGTAATCCACCTGCTTTGGCCTCCCCAAGTGCTGGGATTACAGGCGTGAGCCACTGTGTCCAGCGTTCTTTTCTTAAAGTTTTAATGACTACAACAATGTCAACATACTAGACTACAGGCAATTCAGCTAGCTCTATAGCAAACATGTATTTGTTTAACTTATAACTATTTCTAAAAGGTATTTTTCATGAAAATTCAGGAACTCAAGACTATATAAGCACCATGCAACCCGACTAAATTGTAGCAAAAGAGTACGTGTCATGATTTTTAAAATAATAATGCCAACAGTCTTCTGATTTGCCAGAGTTATTTGTAAGTGAAACCTCAGTATTTGCTGAATGAATGGAACACAATTTAAGTTACTAGAGATGCAACTACCACTTTAAAAGGTCCTTTAAGTTAGTTAAAGGTAACAGGTTGGGGCTGATATTTATCAAAGTCTGAGGAGCAACAGTTTGCTTTTTAAAGGATAAAAGACATATGGTAAGAAGATCAGAGCCATTACAAAAATAGTTGGAAGAGAGAATTAGGAGATTCAAAGATGGGGAGCAAATTCAGAAAGCAAATATGCATTACAAGACATTTCATGTATACCTTTTCTCTTGAACTGTAAATGATCTGAGGTCAGCATTTGTGTCTTAACGCTTGTTTTATAACTTGCATAGAACTTTACATAGTACCTGTACTATGTCAACAAACAGTCCTTGGGCCAGGCGCGGTAGCTCACACCTGTAATCCCAGTACTTTAGGAGGCCAAGGCAGGTGGATCACTTGAGGCCAGGAGTTCAAGACCAGCTAGGCCAACATGGTGAAACCCAGTATCCGCTAAAAATACAAAAATTAGCCAGGCATGGTGGTGGCATGCATCTGTAATCCCAGCTAGTTGGGAGGCTGAGGCAGAATTGCTTGAACCCAGGAGGTAAAGGTTCCAGTGAGCTGAGATTGCGCCACTGCACTCCAGCCTGGGGGACAAAGTGAGACTTTGTCTCAAAAAAAAATCTTTGGTTTGATAAATTTTAAACTTTTTAGTAATTTACTTTAAAAAAATCTTTACTGGAGATAATTCTCACACCATACAATTCACTCATTGAAAGTAAAGAGTGCGGTGGTTCACACCTGTTATCCCAGCACTTTGGGAGACTGAAGGATCACTTGAGGTCAGGAGTTCGAGACCAGCCTGGCCAACATGGTGAAACCCCACCTCTACTAAAACTACAAAAATTAACCGGGCATGGTGGCAGGCACCTGTTAGTCCCAGCTATACTCAGGAGGTTGAGACAGGAGAATCACTTGGACCCAGGAGGTGGATGCTACAGTGAGCTAAGATTGCACCACTGTACTCCAGCCTGGGCAACAAAGATTCCATCTCAAAAAAAAAAAAAAACAAAACAAGTACCTACAACTCGGTGTTTTTGTTTTTTGTTTTTGTTTTTTTGAAATGGAGTCTTGCTCTTTTGCCAGGCTGGAATGCAGTGGCATAATCTTGGCTCACTGCAACTTCCGTCTCCCAGATTCAAGCGATTACCCTGCCCCAGCCTCCTGAGTAGCTGGGAGTACAGGCATGCGACACTACACCCAGCTAATTTTTTGTATTTTTAGTAGAGATGGGGTTTCACCATGGCCAGTATGATCTTGGTCTCCTGACCTCAGGATCCTCCCACCTCAGCCTCCCAAAGTGCTGGGATTATAGGCGTGAGCCACCACGCCCGGCCCTCAGTGGTTTTTAGTATACAGTCAGAGCTGTATATCAATCACTATAATCAAGTTTACACTTTCATCACTACAAAAAGGAGATCCAAACCCATTAGCAGTTACTCTCCTCCACCTAGCCCTAGGCAATCATGGATCTACTTTATAGATTTGCTATTCTGGACATTTTATATAAATGGATATTATGCGGTCTTCTGTGACTGGCTTCTTTCATCAGCACGTTTTCAAGCATCATCTACATCATAGCATGTATCAGGACCTGATTTCTTTTTATTGCTATATCATATTCTATTGTACAAGTATGACATATTTTCTTTATCCATTCATCAGCAGGTAGACAGCTGGGTTGTTTCCACTTTTTGGCTATTATGAATAGTGCTGCTATGAACCTTCATGTCCAAATGTTTGTGTGAACATATGCCTTCATTTCTCTTGGGTATATACCTAGGAGTGGAGAACTGCTGCTTCGTGGGCACATGTGCAATGTTCTCAACAGGATTATCAGCTCTTTGGAGACAGGCTCTTATTTCCTTTATATTTTCCACATCAATACTGTGCATAAAATAGATACTGTGCTTGTTTAATATTCAAGAGGTGAGAGAAAGAGGGAAGGAAGGAAAGGGGGAAAAGTAAGCCCTACAGAATATTAAAGTTAAAAATGGACATCATTAACCTAAAATAAGACAAAGATAAGGGTATGTTCAGACTATATTTTTTGGTTCACTGACTTCATATTGCTACCAAATTAAAATTTTATCTATTATTTGACCTCAGAGTAAGAATTCTGATTCCTTTACTGAACTTTTAGAATGAAATCCCTATAAAGAACCAAAGATAGAGACAATAACTACAATAACTCAGACAAGGTGAAATAATGAAGGACAACAAAAAGGAAACAGCAGTAAGAGGAGAAAAAAATGTTTAAAAGAGTTGATCACTATGAAAATAGACACTTTCGATCAGTATGAAAATAAACACTTAAGTAAGACCGAATTTCAATCCTGAAAAAAAAAAAACGAAGTTGAAAATTTTGAATTATATTAAATTTACGAGTGTTTTCCTAGGCTATAATAAACCTCATCAAATGTCTGTGAAGTACTTTTGTCCAAAGAAGAGAAATCAAGACTCACTCTTCTTGCTTTGCCTACGCCGCCAAACAATGCTACATCTCCACCTAGTGACATGAAAGCACAAAGCTGAACCAGGAACTTCCAAGATCATAAACACTGAAACCTGAAAACATAATCATTCATTATCGATACACAAAGCCAACGCATCTCCACAAAACAACTTCTCCAGGTATGGAATAAAGATGTTTAAACAGTGCTCTTCCATTCACTACAAAACAAAATAACCTAAACCTACTAAATATGCTAATTCCTCATGGAATTCGCTTGCCCAGTAGCATGATTATGACAGTGTTGTTAAGAACATGTGCTACACAAATTTAACATGTGAAAGATGGTAAAGCCCAGACAGAAGCAGCCCACTCGAAACACAAAGACCCAGTACGGCTCCTAAAACCACATGCAAATAAGAATTTTTAAAGCATCACTACAAATTATAGTGTATCAATACTATACTTAAGAATTGCATGACGATCCTTGAAGAACTCAAGTCATCACAATGTAGACTCATACACCCAGCTAGCCAAAAGCATTTTGGGGGCATTAATGGTATTATCTACACGCTATGCATCTTTGTAAATTCCTTGGACACAATGCGTGTCACAATGCCTTGGATGCAACACACACTTAGTGAACATTTGTTAAATGGAACGATCCTCTGGCCCATGATTAAGCTCTCAACCTGCAGTAAATTACACTGACGGGAGGTGTTCTTTTTGGTGAGACTGGGAAGTAAAGGTCTAGACTCATTCCCCAATCTGGTTGCGTGTAGGATTCATTACCAAGTTTAAAACAAAGAGTACAGACTGCGAAAGGAATCCCTGGAAATTCCGAGGCAGTAGCTCTATGTTGAGGCCTGAGAGTCCACATTTTTAAAACTTAGCAGGTTAATTCGGAAGAGAGGTTAGACCACTTTCCTGGAAAATCAAGTCTGAGTCACACTAATTCTGCCACTCTCTCTCCCAGGATATGAATGATTATGAGGTATTGGGGTGACAGCATGCACATACTCAAACAGGACATTTCTGTTTAGGTAAAATAATTTAACATAAAAATGAAAAAGCTTTAAAAAATTCACCATCAAAACCAAAACTTGGCTACTGGCTTGTAATTTACACCTAGAGTAAAATGTAAATTCTACTTATAATAAGCTTTTTAATCAAACTTTTCTATTTTTTAAATTAGAAATCAAAATTTCAAAAAAGATAATTGTCAATTACTTTTATGTGCAATATACTGGATCCAGTATTTGCCATTAATCTTTAGAAGAAAATATTAGAAAATTATTATTGCCACTGAATATAAGTGATATGCCTTGTTTTAGGAATCTGTTTTCAAGGGTTTTACGGTACTGATTATAAAGTAATTAACAAAACTGTAGGTGTGGCTCATACATATTTCCCCAGGTTAAAATATCTAAACTGTAAATACATGAGACTAAAATTTTAAAAGGCTGAGAAGAGGGTGAAGGTTCATACAGCAATCAGCCCGACAGATCCAAACTAGCCATGAATCTGTTTTAACAAA